AAAATGAATGCTTTTTTTTTCTTGAAATTTTCTTTAAAAATGTTTTCCGGGAAATAGCTTGGAACTTAAAAGGAAGAATGTAGTGTTTGTAAGCAAAAACAGCTTGAACTGAGTAGCACTACTGGCTACAAAAGGATTCTTTGCATCTTTCTTCTATAAAATATGTGGCCTTAATTTGCATTAACTAGAATTACACTGATTCTCATCAGTGTGTGTCTGTTATTTGGGTATTGTTCCAAAATAAAAATTACAAATGGCATCCATTAAGAGAAAAGTTACACGTTTGGCCTAAGAAAGTGGTTACACATAAACCACCAATTTTGAAATATAGTATGTGTCCTACCACAACTAGCGAGATATATTAATTGTACATATGTTTAAATGCAACAAAAGATGGAGACAAAACTACTAGAGACAGAATTAGGTATCAAAACTTGAAGGGTTAACTCAAAAAGTAATTTGAAAATTAAATTCAATAAACATTTCTGTACCTCTTTTTAAAAAATTCCTGGTCTTATTTAAAAATAATTTGAACATTATTTTAAAACATCTATATTTTCAAAATATCAAAAATATGGTGGGCTTTTTTTTCTTTACTATTTTGGTGGGATAAGGGAAATCTTATACCATAGTGAGCTGCATAATATCCATAGTGAGCTGCATAATGTACTGCAGAAATATTACTATCAATAATAACAGTAATACTATTGAAATGTTACAAGTGGTGCGCTGCAGTGCTGCTGTTTAATCCATATCCTATCCCCTTAAAATTTGGGCTTTCCCATACTGGGAATCCCAAAAGGTATTATGGAGGAAGGTCCTCATATGGGCCACATCTGGGGGTTAATGTTACAGTAGATGGTCAGCAAATGTTACAGTAGATGATATTCAGCTTTCTTTTAGTTATGTAATACTGTAATTATTTTCCAGTTCATTTCAAATGCTTCTTTTTTCTTTCAACTAAGTTCAAAAATAAGTGACTTCATCGACAGGAGGACCAGTTTATTCAGTCTCTCCCTCTGCAAAAGATCTGACAAACAAGGATCACCATTTCAGTAGATGGTAAAGAAATAGCTCAAGCATGATGAGTCAGAGGCAAGACCCTCCTTCTCTCCCTCCTTAATAGGTCCCCCCATTAATTAAACTTACTGCACTGACCACTGAGATCTCCATGAAAGCTTCTAGGTAAAATATTGGGGAACCAACTATAGTGAGTGCTGATAATATTTGGTTAAACGGATTGTGGGCCCAATCAGTATAAATTATCTTCACATTCCTATTCCTTGGGATCCTCTGAACAGGCAGTTAATCTAATAAACAGGCTGGAAAACCATAAAAAAGTTTGGCTGCTGCTTTGGTATTTCTTTGTGCCCTGGAACAATGAAGGGCTAGCTACACAACCCAGTCTCCCCCTTTTTTATAAAAACAAGACGAAGTTATCATAATAAATAATATTTACTCACCCTTTCAGGCAAGGACAATGAGCTAATGTTTATTTAGTACTTTGAAGCTGCAAATGTACCAACCCAAGAGCTAAAGTTGCTATTACCACAGCAGTTTTTCCAGTGTGTTGTCCAATCTAGCTTTAAATGACTCAGTTAATGAGATGCTCATCATTTCCCCAGGGAGGCCACTGCACAGAGCAGTTGAGTAAGTTATTGAGATTTTAGGATATGCCTCAAAAGTCTGTCAACTGCTTTATTTATTTATTTTATTTATTTGAAGTCCATCCTGAACCAGAAGTCCATTTGGCAGATACAGTTAGGGCACGTGAGAGTCTTTTGCTTACCATAAAGGAATCTCATAATATTCTCCTTAATAATATGGTGAAGTATGGACTAGATGATACAACTGTTAGATTGACTCACAAGTGGCTGAATGAGCACACCCAAAGAGTGCTCCTTACTAGGTCCACTTCAACTTGGATGGAAATACTGAGTGGAGTGCCCCAGGGCTCTGTGGCGGATCCTGTGCTATTCAGCATCTTTAGCAATGATTAGAATGACAGGATTGATGGATGCTTAGCAAGTCTGTGGGTTCCAGATAGACTTGAGCTCTGGGCTGAAATGAATAGATTGGAATTTAACAGGGAGAAATGTAAAATTCTGCATCTAGGGAGGAAAAATGTAAGGCACAAGTACAAGATCAGCAAGGCTTGGTTTGGTATTTGTAAAAGTGGAAAGGATTTGGGTATCCTTGTTAACCATAAGTAATATATGAGCTACAGTGAGATGCAGCTACTGAAAAGGCAAATGAAACCTTGAGGTACATTAACAGGAGTAATTGTTCTACTCTATTTTGACCTGGTTTGAGCCCACTTGTTGAGCCCAACCAGTTCTGTGCACCCTTGTTCAAAAAAGACAGTGAGAAATTGGAGTGAGTTGAGAAGAGGGCTACCAAGGTGTAAACCAAATCCTGTGAGGAACAGTTAAAAGATCTGGGCATGTTTACCCTATAGTAGAGGTGACTGAGGGAAAATATGATAGCAGTTTTCAAATATCTTAAGAGTTAGCATACTGAAGCGAGAGTGGACTTATTTTCTATTCCTGAGGACAGGACCAGACCTATAACTGGATTATCTGGACCTCTTTCAGTCAGGGTTCAGGCCGGATTATGGGACTGAGACAGCATTGGTCATGCTCTTGGATGACCTCTGGCGGGAGTGGGATGGGGGTAGTGCATCCATCCTTGCTCTTCTTGATCTCTCAGCGGCCTTTGATACCATCGATCATGGTATTCTTCTGGACTGGCTTCAGGAGTTGGGGGTGGGTGGCACTATGTTGTGCTGGTTCTCCTCCTTCCTCTGGAGTCAGTTCCAGTCAGTGTTGATGGGGGGGGGAAGGTCCAGCCCACAGCCCCTACATTGTGGGGTGCCCCAGGGCTCAGTCCTCTCCTCTCTTATTTGACATCTACATGAGGCTTCTGGATGAAGTGATCTGACGATTTGGGCTTGGGGTGAAGTATCATCAGTATCCTAATGATACTCAGTTTATATATGCCCCCTGGGCTGCCTGAGTGATGCCATGGATGTCCTCTTCCAGTGTCTGGAGGCTGTAGGGGCTGGATGGGCACAATGGGCTTCAGGTCAACCCAAACAAGACTGAGTGGCTTTGGGTACTTGGGCCTTCTGGTCGCAAGGTTTTTCCACCTTTGGTCCTGGATGGGGTAGCACTGCCCCAGGTGGACTGAGTGTGCAACCTGGGGGACCTCTTGGACTCACAGCTCCTGCTAGAAGAGCAGGTGGCAGCCTTAGCTAGGAGGGCCTTTGCACACCTTCAGGTTGTGCGCCAGTTGCACCCATTCCTGGACCGGGAGGCTTTGCTCAGTCACTCATGCCCCTGTGACCTCTTTTCTGGATTACTGCAACACACTTTATGTGGGGCTGCCCTTGAAAAGCATGTGGAAGCTTCAACTGGTGAAGAATGCAATTGCACAGGTAGTAAATGGTATCAGATATTTGACACATGTAACACTACTTAGTGAACTGTACTGGTTGCCAGTGTATTTCTGGGTGCAATTCAAGGTGTTGGTTGTCACATTTAAAGCCCTTCATGGCTTGGGACTCGGTTACCTGGTCTTCTCCCAGTTGTTTCTACCCGTCCAATTTGGTCTGGCAGGTTGGGCATGCTATGGGTCCCGTCAGTCAAGGTATGTTAGCTGGCAGAGACTCGGAGGCATACCTTCTCTGATGCAGTCCCTGCCTTCTGGAACATTCTCCTTCCAGAGATTAGGATGGCCCTGACCCTGTTGGCCTTTTGTAAGGCCTTGAAGACCTGGCTATATGCCCAGGCTGGGGGCCCCAAGTGTGTTTAAGAAGCCCATATCCTGGTTACTATTAATATCTATGGTTAAAATTTTTCTTGGCTGCTATATTTATTTTTGTATTGTGTTTATACTTGGTTTTAACTGATTTTATGATTGCTTATTATTTATTTAGGACTATTGTTATATTGTATTTTTAATTAATATTTACCTTTTCTGTAAACTGTCCAGTGGTGACAAATTCAATATATAAATAAATAAATTTGTTTGCCGCCCAGAGTCACTTGTTTGAAATGGGGGGCCATAGAAATTGAATGAATAAATAAATAAATTACAAGGAAGTAGATTCAGTGGTGAGTTCTCCTTCCCTGGAGGACATCAAATAGAGGCTGATCGTGCTGTGATGGATATGCTGTGATGGATCCTGCACTGAACAAATTATCACTAAGACATCTTCAAATTCTATGAATCTATGTGGTAGCCCAGTGACTCAAAAAGTTAACATTTGTGTGGCTATAACTGAGAGGCATGCCAGGGTTGAGCTGAATGAGCTACTTTAGTAGCCCAGTTAAGGACTGTATCATACTTTTGCAAATAATTACAGCTGTTTCGATTTTTCCAGCTATCCCGTGTTCCCTCCCTACATCCCAGAGCTGGCAGCACCAACAGCTATGGAAGGATCTGAGAAGAGGAAGGAAGGCAATAACTGCCACAGAAGCTTCCTTAGCTAGATTCTGACTCATGCCTGTCAGCCTCACCACATAGACCAGACAGGAATCACGATCAGATAAATTAATTCTACTTTATTGCAAAGCTAAATTAACAGAATCTTGCAAATCTGAAAATACAATTCTCCAGCCTTCACCTTTACAGTCCAAGTACTTAGGGAGGGTCCCTTCTGAGCCTCTTGCGGTGTCTGCTATGCAGCTGCGGGCTGTGCTGTCTCTTATCTGACCTTCCCTGGGCAGCATCTCTTTGCCCCATCCCAAGGTCTTTCCCACATACCGTTACAATTACCCCAAATGCCCTGTGAGGAACATGTTTGCCATAGCAAATGGCAACACCTTGACATTGTATGTACTATATATTTGTATCTGTACTAAGAAAGCCAGAAGTTATCCTTTTTTTCTTTTCCTTTTCTGCATTTTAAATTTCCCTCTTTTCTGATCTTTTTTTTAACCCCCCCCCTTTTTTCTGTTTTCTTATATTTTATTCTTTGTTGAAATTTAATAAAGTTCTTTAAAAAAAAATTCTTGGAGTACAACTGGGCTTTGGTTGCGCTTGTGGTTTGCCGACTAAAATGTGCCAAAGCCCACTGGTACTGCCCTTACTGTTAGTAGGGCATGCTGCATGTGGAATTAATCTATGTCTTCTTCTATCTTACTAAAAACATTATGTGAAAGTTTCAGCTGATCAAAGATATGATGGGCAGCAGAAGTCAATATTTTTTGACCCCTTAAGGCATATGGAAGATTGCAATCTAGAATACAGGAGAAACATGAATTAGTTCATAAAATGAAATTAAAAGAATAGATACATTGTAGGTATGTGAAACTAGAAGAAAGGGGAAGGATGCAATAGATCTGAATGAAGATAGTTTAATCTTGTGGAGTGAAGGTGTAGTATGAATTATGAATTAAAGGGCTAAAAGGTGTGGCAGAGAGTATGAATTGGTGTCCATCAGCTAGCTGTGGGTTAATGCATGTTTTTCTCCCATGAATGGCTTTAATGGAAGAACTAGAGGAGAGTGTGGGGGAAATTTGTGCAATATTGAGTTAATGCAATCAATGGTGTTGAATGAAAGGATGAGAAATGAGAGTACAGAAAAAACGATTAAGCTGTTTAGAGATACACTGGTGAATATCTAAAAAAAGGTCTGCTTTGAATACATGGTTTAAGCGTAAAGAAAAGCAATGAATATAAGTCTAAAAACATGACTGAATGTTTGAATGTGGTGAGAACCATATAAGATAGAACTATATGGAATGGTTAGCAAGTGCTTGAAAACTGAGCAAGGAGTGAGACAAAGATATGTGATATCTACCCGATTTTTTAATACATTTACAATACATCTATAAGGTGACCTTGAAGCTATGTTGGTTAGGGACATGAATGTACAACAAATATTTACAGATACAAACTAACTGAGGTCAAGCAGTGGGAAAAAAACAAGCTTGTAAATCCTACAAAATCCTATTATACAGTAATTTTCATAGAAAGAGGTTGATCCTTTAATCTTTATTGAATTCAGTCTGCATTGCTTTTAAGTAATTATAGATTTGGGATTTTTAAAAAAAGATGTTCAAAACAAATATATTTGCTGAATGTGCCTTCAAAATGATGGATGTAATATAAAATACTCCAATCTGTATCTGCATTGGTATCTTCAGGAGCTATCATGGACTTCCCCTTCTTCCTCAGAAGAACTTTCCTTAATCATGTCTTTGTTAGATGTATTGATTTCTAAAGGGGAGAAAGAAATACATTTATACAGTTTTTGCTGTCAACTCAGTTCTAGTTTTGCATCCTCCATTAATGTGCCTATCTATAAGCACACAGTTATTGATAAATAACGTGCCATGAGATGCAGACATTCTGGATTTGCTGTAAAGTTATAGTTCTCAGAATAACACAGGTAGTCCTTGTTTAGCAACTGCCTCATACAGTGACTGTTCAGTTACAAAGGTGATGAAAAAGTAACTTTGCAACCAATTCTCGCATTTATGACCTTCACAGGTCTGTAAAGCAAAGGTAAAATCACAAGTTTTTATGTATTTTCATTAATATTTATTTGTTGTTTTATTATGAACTGCCCAGAGTCACTTTCTCGTGAGATGGGCGGTATCTAAATTTGAAATAAATAAATAAATATATATAAATAAAAAAACAAGCAAGCAAGCAAGCACAGTCATGTTTTCACTTAGCAACCACTTCACTTAATGACTGAGTTGCTGGTCCCAATTGTGGTTGCTAAATGAAGACTACCTGTAAAAGCACTGCCAATAGTAAAAAAGCTCCTGTTACCCTCAGATCAATTAAGGTGGTTCCAAAGCTTCAGTCTAGGGGAACATTCTAATGTAAAATGTCTTAAAAGTAATAAAACAACGAGCAGAGGAAGAAACAGATGCTCTTACAAATGAATACTGTATATGTCAAACCCAAAAAATCAATTCTGCACCAACAATCAAATGCCCATGATTATCCATAGCAGTTCCTTAAGAGGTGATTTCTAGGAACTCACCCCACCCTCTATTCTATGGGCCAGAATGCTCTCAGGCAATGGAAGTGCCAGAAATTAATAACGCCAAAGTACTAGTAGATGCTCTGTTGGGTAGACTAGGCTTCATGAAAAGGAAATCTACTTTTGATAAAGGTCAGCATTCTCTTTTACTATTTGTTTTAGGTTCTAAAACAAATATTATTAACTACTGTTTTATCCAATATGGTTTCCCCCCTCAAACTATTCTGTATGCTGATCAGGTATGCGCAGAAGTTCTGTGAGACAGAGTTATGACTTTTAGCACAAAAACTAAATACAACTACTATGCCAGAGAAAACTTTGTATTTCCTTTTCCTGCAATTTATTTTGATAGTCTGATATTTGGTATGTGAATTCAGGCTTCATTGTCAAAAACTTCTGTGATGTGAATCCTAATGGTTGGAATTTCAGAATCACCTTGAATTTCAATGTTAGCATCAGATGGAGGGGTGACTTGGATCATTATTCAGGAAATGATCTTTCATTCATTTGAGACTGATACTTGTCTATTTAGTCTCCTAGAATTCTGTCTGCTCAAAGGAATGGAAGATTTGAAGACTTGCTCAGAGAGATTATTTGTTGACCTGATATTAACTGAGCAGCACCTTTCTTTTGATACTGTATATTCTATTGGCAGAAGAATGCCTGGAAGTAACAAATATGTCTATCACTTCTGGCAGTAATTTTATTGACTAAGGACACCTCGCCTACCTCAAAGTTGTTTAGCTACAGAAGCCTGGAAATCTTGGAATACAAAAAAAAATCTTGCTTGAGAAGACCTGATGTAAGTGGCTTTAAAATGTTTAGTCCAAGAAAGATAAGCATCTTGGCTTTCATGGCCAAATCAGAATCAATTCCATCCTCTATTTACATTTTTCTCTGACTCCTCTTGCAGTTAGGAATGAATAAATTGCATACAGAAATTCTGTACTTCTGTTTCAAGAGATTTAGGAGTTCTGATTTCCCTTCTCTCAACACAGTAGTGAACCTTGCCACTTTATATTGTTCTGTTGATGCAAAAGCAGAATCTTTGCCCCATAAATTTGAAGGACCTAGGGTATAGTTCTATAGTTAAAATGGAGAATGTGAAAAGGAACCAAATAAATTTGATGTGAATATGAAGGTAAGTCTTTATGATATTGTGCCAGTTGTTTGCAGCAGAACAAAATTAATTTTTCCCCATTCTGAGTTTCCACATTAATCAAGGCATAGAAAATACATAATATCAGAATGGCACATTATTCACAGTTACTGTAAAAACAAAAACTTTCCCACTTTCTTCTCCAAAATAGGAACCAATTTATTGAATAGTTGAATAATTGTTTCTGAAATCTTGGGAGCTTCAACTTCCATGCTAATCTTAACTAAAGCTTGAAAGAGGAAAAAAAGAAAGAACGGGACTAGAGTTGTTTCCCTTTCTAAGAAAGCTTGCAGGCACATTTTCTGGTGTTTGGTTTCCACCAGGATGGCTTTCTAGAAATGTTTAAAGAAAATGAAGCATTTCAAAAATTTAGCTTAAATTATGCATATAGCCCTTCACTGCATAATCCGATACTGTATTCCTTTTGGCCACTACAGAGGCCACGTATCTTCTTCAAGGGAAAGGATGTCTCCAGTGAGTAACTGCCCAGGACAGTTGCGGAGAAGAAACTTTCTGAGCATGCCTTTCCTTTTTACTTTTTCCAACCCAAAAGAGTGATGGAATGAAATTATGTAAAGGGGCTCAGGACTCTGTCAGCAGGAAAGCCTTTCAAAAACTGAACAGAAATTTGATCTGGGGGCAGAATCCTCCAAAACAAAGACTGCGTTGAAAATGGGTCAGGTCTGGCCAAGCACTGAGAAAAAAAATAAAAATAATCCCCCAATGCAGTCCTATGGGGGAAAAAAGTGGGTCAGCATCTTGGAATGTTGCCAGCTTCTTCATTCTAAGCTCCCTTCCCTCTTTTTTTCCCCTAGTCATGTCATTCAAAGGAGAGCTACTATAAAGAAGTTGGAAAAAAGAATCCAGAAATCATGCTCTGCAGTGCTTTCCGTCTTTCTTCGTCTAAAGAATGCTTTAGTAGGACTGCAGGTGAAGCCTTTCCAAACAAAATCTGGGCAAAAGCTTTTCGGCTAATGAAGAGATTCCTTTCCTTTCTGTTTCTTGCACAGTTCTGTGGCATTGTTCTGCAACATTTTTTTGGGTGGTATCATCATCATCCCAGCATGACTATGCCAACCTGTCCTGAAGTCAGGTGAGAACTGAGGACTGATCACCTTGTTCTAATTGGAAGATCTGAAGATTACCTTTACAGCCATGGAAGAAAGACCTCTCCCATTCTTACAGCCCTACTTCCCCCTTGCTTTATTTTGCTGGTAAAATTATTTCTATAACCAAAGTAAAGAAATTGGGAACAATCGGAAGTGGGACAAATGCCCTGTAAGCTTCTCCTAAAGAAACAACTAACTATACATCCCATGAAATATGTAGGAACTCTCTTGCCTCCAGATGGGAAGTCAGGAAGGGAAAATAATGACTCTGTTCCAACAGGTCCAATGCGATCAGGGTTATCTGCTGTGTGCCATCTCCATATGTGAGAAGAGTGCATGGCGTCAAAATCCCAGAATGTTGAAAAGACATACTGACTTGTGTTTTGGAATGAAGACAGGTTTAAAATGTTAAGTATTTAACTGATAGAAATATAAGATCGCCCCGCCCGAATTCCTGTAAATGAGTGATGCAGGAGTTTGTTAATAATCTTAACTATTGTTGAAAAGAAGATATTGTTTGAAACAAATTAGAGGTGGGAATAACTATGGATGTGGCTGCTGAAGATTTGCAGTTGTCTGTAAATGTTATTCTGTTTTGTTCAAGCAGGACAGGACATCATTTCTGACTGATGTATGTACATACACATATGCACAAACATATATAGGAGAATTACTTCCACAGATTTATTGCTGAGGGGAAATCTCCAGGATTGGTTTCAGCTGGAACTGGAACCTTTGGCCTGCCAAGATGGGGACACTGGTCACTGTGCTGAATTATTCTTTCTCTTGCTATATATATTCATGTCTACTTTTCCTTAAGAGGTCACCTAAAATTCAGGCTTGTCTTCTTTTCACGTCAACACGTTTGTGGCAAAAAGTGACAGAGAAATTATCATTATGACATGATTATGTTTCACTGCAAATATGAAAAAAGAATATGCCATTTTTCAGTTATAACTTCTAATAAAATAATATTGTCAGATGTATTGCATTTAGATTTTCTTAGTCTTCTAATTCATGCAGAAAATTGTTGAGTCCTGATATCTCTGCACATTTCAATATTTCAACATAATGCTGTAGGGATGGGAGCCAAAGTAGTCAGGACTGCCTAATGCCTGGCTGTTGATGTCATAGTGTGATCACTCATTTCCTGATGTGCACATCACCCTGCTCCCTCTATATTCCAGCTTACCCCAATTCTCCTTCCATAGCACTATTAACACCTACTCTGATGAAGTCAACTAATTTTACATATAGAGAGACATTCACACACCCTAATAAGGACCACTCATTTTACTGAAAGAGAGCTAATGGAAAATTGACAAGAAATACTGAGCACATGAGAAACAGAGTTAAAACTAGAAGGTCACCAACATCTGTGTAACCTCAGTGGAATTCTACCAAGAAACATCTTAATAATTATATGCTAGATATGTACTGAGTACATATCTAGCATATAATTGTGAGTTCTCAGGATTGATCAGACAAGACACAGCACATAAGGGCATTCTTACAAACTAAGTCATTTTTAAAAAAAATAATGTATGGTGTATCAAGAATAGAAAGATTAGTTTTTCTATAAGATTTATTCTTTCAGCTAGACAGTAATGCAAGTCGGGTTCAGCTAATGCATGCAAACAAAATGTAACTCTCCCCTACCCTCTGGCTTCTACCTTCAAAGGATTCATGACGTAACTGCTCTACAATTCAGAGATTCACTATAAGCTGGCTGCAGTACTTCTGTTGAAATGAGTGAGCTTCTCCTAAAATGTAGCTGCTACTAAATTTCCCCCACTTAATCAAGGGCTTCACTTAAAGCTTAACTGCAATCTCTCACAGCTAGCATTACCTTTATCTTTTTGGTGCCTTTGGGTCCTCTTCTCTCTCTGGATATCGGTGCTGGATAGACAGATCCTATGCTGTATCATTCTCCTCCTTTGCACAGCAATTTCTTTGCTGATCCTTTTTGGTGATCTTCAATCACCTGGGAACTTATAACTCTTCAGCAGCCCAAGATTGCCTATTTCTATCTTTGTGTCCTAGCCCTATGGCTCCCAAACTGTGCTCTGTAGTGACCCAGGGCACTGTAGAAAATTCGCAGGGGTGCCACAGGATATTTTACAACTTAATAAATGGAACTGTTACTGAGTTCACTGTGGCACCCTGGGATGCCATGTTACAGAGTTTAAAAACTGCTAGGAGTGCTGTGAACCAAGAAAGTTTGGGAATCTCTGTGCTAGCCATTTTTCTTCTTCTCTCCCACCAAGTCCAATTTCAACACTACTAATTTCCTGCCCTCTTCTTAGCCCATGTCAACTTCCCCTCCTTGTGAGAGACTCTGTGTGAAAAATGTTATTTTTCTCCCCAGGTCCTTCTCTGCATTATACCACAAATGCAGTCTATATGTCTGAGAGATCATGCAACAGGATGTCAGACAGTGTATACCTTATCCATTCCATCACAACAATCCTATACTATTAGTTTTCAAATTATAATAAAAAAAGTGATGGACAAGGCCTTCTAGTTATTGCTGAACTGTTATGAGCATCCCTGGGAATTAAAGTTTAATAACACGTGAAGGGCCACAGGTTCCTCAACTGAATTTTAATGGCTTCATCCTGCATGAAGCAGAATTTTCTAATATAGCCAGACATAATTTGAAAAAAAAAATCAGCTCTGTATAGGCATTCAAAGTAATATAAACTTCCAATTAAGAAAGGATATTTGATCTGGAAAAGCAAATCAACTGCAGACGTTAATGCATGCTATGCTACAAAATTGTCCAGAAGAATATTTGTGAGACAGGTGTGGACTCATCTATCCCATCAAATTTAATTACTTAGAAACCAGAAACTGTGACATCTTGATACATTTTCCACAAAATAAACGAGCAAATAGGGGAAAAAAAGTTCTAATGATATTATTGCAATAGTTAAATTACCTGAAATTTAACTAGAAAGAATAAACATATATGCCAATCATATATTTGCTGTATATTATTATATTACAACAAATATTCACAGACCAATACCTAAGTACATGTTTATTCTCTGCATTGAATATTATTTAGAATATATAATGAGTACCTTTGTTCATGTTCTGGCCAAGAATCAACATATCTGTCTTGAATTTCCTCAATACCACATGCAGAGTTGGATATTCAATGACAACCTTCCCTTTCAAATTGTCTAGAAGGCTTTTGCTGGCATCCAATTCTTCATACCTTTTGAAAAGGATAATAAGCATGGTAAATATTATATCAAGATTTGATTATTCCAACATAAAAGTAAATGTCTTGGGCACAATTGTACTATATCAGTGTCTTTGAAAATGCAAAAACAATATGGTCTTTTTTTCAGGAATAGATATTCACTTGCTCTCATCAGATTTTAGCCTTAAAAAGGGTTGACAGGTTTGGCAATCAAATTTCAGCTTTCTAGGTCATGTGAAAATATGTTTAGTACCCTGGTGAGTCACTAGTCAAGACATATTTTTATTCGGTGCTAATTCACCTTGTATTCTATAAAGACAGAAGTGTATTTCAGGCAACCAACGGAAAATCCCTAAAATTTACTCAAATATCTGAAGTAATAATAGACTTCTTACAGCTCAACATTCTGTTCCAATGTGCAATTCCATATTGTTGGCCTCTGTAATAAGGCAAATTTAAAAACAGTCCATTTTTAGGATGTTCCAACACAGAAGGGTTTTTTTTTTTTCTAGCTACAGGAATACCTAATTTGGGCTTTGCTTATGAAGCAGCTTAGCTATGTAGTACTCTCTGGGGAGAAGGGGGAGGGAATGAGGAAGGGAGAGATACAACTATTTTACTTAAAATTTCTTTAGTAAGGAGAATGCTTTGGAGTACACATGTACCACATTTCAGATTTTCAGGCCATGATGTTTTATCAATGGGTTTAAATTTTGAAAAATGTCTTAAGGATTTTTTTCTAATGGCAGAATACTTTTAGCATTTTTATTATAAGTCTTGCCAAATTTCAGCTCAGTAAGGTGGAAGTATCTTGAAACATTAGACCATTTCTTTGGGACAAAGATGTAGACAGGTTCCTTATTTAATTTTTGTATGTAATCAGAAAGTTGGAAAAAATAATTTAGGCCATCAAGTCCAATCTCACTGCTCAGTGCAGGAATACAATGAATATGTGTGCAGAGAGACGTGTACACCCATATCAAACATGATTGGCTTAGCTAACAAAAGGAGTAATGTAACCATTTTAAAATATAGAACATTTATTTATTTATTTTGTGTTACAGATTTTATGTCCTACTTAATTCAGAAGATTCTGGGTAAGTTACAACATGCTAAAATTATAAGCAGCAATAGAAATAAATCAAAATTATAAAAATAACAGTAATGTTATAAGGGAGAAATGTGCAAAATGCCTGAGATTTTCCCCTCCTACACGTATATTTCTACATGGAACACAAACGAAAGACCTCTATTACAATTTGATGCAGGACCTAGTGCTAGAATGCATCTAAAAGATAAACTGAATATACACAGGTAGAACATAAAACTGATAGATTTGTCACAATGGATAATTCTAGATTAAAGGTAGAATTACAAGTGCATCTCCCTTGCCTCCCTGCAAACAGAAAAGTAGCACAGTAGGAAGAAATGTTTTACCTTACTCTTTTGCTGTATTGGCTTTCATTCTGCAGGAAGTTGTAATATCATAGAGTTTTTGAAACAATGAGCTAATACTTGTAATTTAAAGACACCCCATTCCATTCCATTCCATTCCATTCCATTCCATTCCATTCCATTCCTAGATTAGATCCTTATTTATTACATACAGCCCATCAAATAAGAACAATCACTCTGATGTCCTTGATTCTGTTATGTCTAATAACCTGAGTATCAAAGCAAAGTGGATGTTACTGCCTTTAAAAAAGTCATGTGGTGGCCATCTAGCAGAAAGCATGTCTTAAGATTTATCCCTTTATCTCATTCCATTCCATTCCATTCCATTCCATTCCATTCCATTCCATTCCTAGATTAGATCCTTATTTATTACATACAGCCCATCAAATAAGAACAATCACTCTGATGTCCTTGATTCTGTTATGTCTAATAACCTGAGTATCAAAGCAAAGTGGATGTTACTGCCTTAAAAAAAGTCATGTGGTGGCCATCTAGCAGAAAGCATGTCTTAAGATTTATCCCTTTATCTCACTGCGTTTTCTAGGGAAAGATGGATCCATAAGTTATACACCATTAGAGAAGCAGAAAGAAGATCAGAGAATTCTCTCAGGAGTAAACTGCTCCTTCAGTTTCTCAGTAACAAACTAGCAATATTAAACACTGTATGTGCCAAATTTTGAAAGTTTAATTTAAAGTTCATAGAACACTGTTACATAGCAAAATGATACTGCTGGGAAGAATTAATGATTGTTTGTGGAAACCAAATTCAAAGTGCAATAACCTTGTAGTTTAGTTCTGAATTCCTCATATCAGCAGCTGCAAACTGAATTCCTCAAAGAAAACTTCATTTATTTGTGTGTTCTGAGTTACCCTTGCGACTTGGATCAAACACCAATTCCGTATATGGGATATTTTTTTCCCTTGGGAGGATGCATTCAAAGCAATAAGCAGGCATCAACAGAGTCTGGCTAAGTAACTGTAGCAATTTGTACTTAGCCTTTTTTTTTTTTTTAATAATTACGAATGTACAAACTACCACATTTCAGAATATGCTTCTCATAGGTAAATAATGAAAATGCCAATGCCTAAAACCCCAAATGAACAGATATAAAACCCTAAGAGAAATTATATTAAATACCTATCAAGCTCTTAAAATCAGTGAATGCATGTTGGATAGGATTGTGGGAGTTGGGAGTCCAAGGGACCAGAAGGCACCAGGTTGCCTTCAGAGTGTTTCTGCTATAGAATTCCTTAGCAACAACTACAGTGCACAGGTTAATACTTTTGACAAAGTTCACTGGGTTAGAGTTTAATGATCCGAATTCAATTAAAATAATGCAACTTGCTTTTCCTGGTTTGGGAAGAAAGAACTTTATGGAAGAGTTACTTCCCTTAAATCCAACTTCAATCATCATGAAAATAATTTGGTTTCATGTTGTTTTTTTTTACCTCAAATAATTATGACCATACCAACCAGTTCTTCCTAAACCCATTTTTCCAAAAAAAAAAAAAAGGGCAAGAGTATTTTAAATTCAAAGAGTGCTTTCATAACATTTGGAGCAGCATATGAGGAGAAACATATTTGCTGATTTATTTACAGTACTTTAATGCAAAGTACGGCGGTACCTTTCCACTGGCAAGAGTCTCCACACATTCTTTTCTGGTTAAGCAAACATTTACCACCAAAAGGCTAAAGTCATTCACATGCCACAATACACTTTCCATTATCTCATGTTTTAGACAAAACATCCTTAGCGTCCAGCTTGGCAGAGCATAAAACATTTGTACTTTAAACTATTTTATGATAGTAAATTATTCAAGTATTAGATCACCAAGGCCTAGATTTAAGTAAGCTTTATTGGTTGATAGACAGTGACTTCTGGCAAATACCCAAAACTTTGATAGAGTGAGAAGAGCTAAAGAATCATAAGAGAGAGAAGAGTTTTTCTTACAGTAATGTCACTAACTATCTACAATTACTCTGTTTTGTTTTTAACTCCTTGGTTCTCCCTCTTTCTGTTAAAATAATACTATTCTGTTTCCCTCCAATATCACTTTATTCAACATTTTCATATACTTAAAATACCTTGTTTATTCAATGTATCATCAATTCTACCTCAGACATTCCTAAAACAACAACAACCCTAAGTTAGGTGTTTCAAAGTAAACTACAGTGATGACAATGATAGACTTGACAGTTTTTCATATTACAAGAAAGCACCTCAACCCACCCACAGCTCCTAAAACAAAGCTTTATCTCTTACACTCTCGTTGAAATTTAATTTACATAGAAGAAAGAGATGGAAGGAAACTAAGAAGAGACCATAAGGTTATATATTAATCTTTATCCGATCATGTTTGACTAAATATGACAGAGGCTCAAAAGGTAGTATTTACTGCCTGATCTCAATTCCCAATCTTTTGTGCAGTGCTAGCCCATTAGACTTACAGCTTTGGGCTTGTTCTCTTTTAAAACTTTAGCTTCCTTCTCTCTCTTACATTCATATTTTCAAAAGCTGGTTACAACTAGTTCTGCCTCTTTCAATTTGGGCTGTTTAAGCTTCTTAATCTTCTCACAATTCTACAGACAATTTTCTGGAGATAAATGAAAGATGCAAAGGTTTTCTAAAGTTTTCACAGTGCCCATGGTAACAAAGGTGCATTTTTCCCATTCTTCTGCAAGTGTTTCCTTATACAAAAGGGTTTTTATTAGCTTCTAATATTTTACTTCTACAGATGATATTTCCACTGAATTTTAACAATAAATACTCTGCCTTTCTGTCATAATGAGGAGAAATAGGTAATTATTTTTTAAAATAATTTTATTGAAGTTTTTAGTAAACATAATAAAAATTAATACAAACTAAACTAGAAGGAAAAAGAAAAAAGTAGAAAAGAAAAAAAAAGGAAACAAAGACAATAATAAAGAAGTAGTTTCCAACTTTCATCACACCAAGCATAAGCTAATATAGTAACTTTTCACCCTCTTTTAAAATTACAAATAAAAAAATCCTCTTATTCCCATAGTCTAACTTTTATCTATGTGCAATTGAGAAATCATCATCTTTTCAATCGTGGTTCAACAAAAAGTCCATTAGGAGTTACCAGAAATATCAAACAAATAGTTTATCCTTGATCAAATAATCCAACTTTATATTCCTTCTTTTTGTTCTTCATAATCTTGACCTTTAAATCATTCCAATGGCATCACAGGATTTACTCTTTTATCAATCTTTGGCATTCAAAAGCAGTCTTCAAAGCTTTCACCAGCCTACTTTGTAAATCCCATAAAGAGGCATCGTCCAGGATTTCTTGTCAGTTCCTAATTTCTTGTCAGTTCTGTTTCAGTCATTTCCCATGGGTATATTATTTAATTATATACTTGTTTTTCAAATCTTACACCAAAAATAACCAATATTCCAAATCTCTCTGGTCTCCCAACCCGTTTAAAACTTTGTTAAATAAAAATCTTTTTTTTTTTTTTT